GCCTGGCGGCCAGGCGGCCTAGATGCCAGCGACTCATTTGCCTTCCTTGGCATACCAGGCAGCCCATTCTTCTTCGGTCCAGTCCTCCAGAACTGCAGCTGCTGGAGCGCCGGCCGTGCGTGCACAAAATGAAGGGGAAAGACAGCGTTCTTCATCGAGATGTAGGACTTCAGCCTAGGCTGGTCCTCGTCGTCGTCCCCACCGCCATAGACATCCTGCCGTCGTACTGCAGATAAAAATCAAGTGCATCCGAAATAGCCAGTTGCAGCGGTCCTCCCATTCCGAATTGGCATTGAACTTTGTGTTCTTGTTGATCTTCGTGTTGGCCTTGTTGTCTTTCTGCGCCTTTGCGCCAGTTTCTGCCTGCACACAAAACGCTCCAAGATTCTAGATACTCCAAGGTGTGCAGCTGTGGGCTTTTGTAACCATTGCATTGCAGCCGCGGTGTAAGGCTCAGGTCACTTGTTGGACAGTGCGACGAATGTTCAGCCTGTTTTCTAGAATGGTCTAGGGCTTCGGCTTTATCTTCATGTTCGAAGGTTCCGGAGTGGGATAAGTCCGCTTGCAGGTCGCGAAAACTCGGGCGGCTAGGCACTACGGGCATGATTCTGGACTTCAGCATGAGCTGGGCCGATGAGGGCGTCTACCTTTCGGTCTCGACATGAGCATGACCACTCTTGGTGCAGTTTTCATCGTCTGTGCCGCTTGCTAGACCACTCCTGTCTTCTGCTCCTGCCTTACTCCGGTCACCCTTCGTGTGAAATTGTGACATCAGGTGCGCCTTCTTGTGTTTGGCAATGTCGGCCAAGCTTCTCTCAAGATCTTCAAGACTCAGCAGCGAGAAAAGTTGACTACAGCAAGTTTCTTCTGTTCACAGGTGCTGTGACCCAGCGGGGCCACGTGCGACTGTCGGCGGTCAATGCAAGTTGAGGCCGCTTCACCAAGGTCTGGGCTCTTTCATGTCGAAGGTCTCCTCTAAGCCTTTGATCAGACCCTTCAGGAACCTCGGCACAGCGCGCGATTCCAGCCCAACCAGGAAAGACAGTGGCGTGATGCCGTTTCATTGCAACATGTTCTGAGCTGCAAGGCTTGTCGGGACCACCCTTGGCCAAGGTAGCCTTCTCCTGGAGGCGAGACCGTCAGCCCTGTTTCAGTAGGCTTGGCCACTGAGCATTTGGCAAACTTGTCCAAGCACTTGCCCAAAAGAGCAGTGACCTTTGTCATTGCGATCACGAGCACATCGTCAGACGTCATACTGCGACTTTACAAGACATCTGAGATTCCCTGCATCCTCGCTCTTCTGCAGCTGCAAGGCCTCGAATTCGTCCACGGTGACTGCCTGAAGACAGATGCCCGAGAGTGCTCTCGCTGTCGCGGCACCAGGTTGTGCCTTCGGCTTTGCTTTCGCCTTTGCAGCCTCAGCTTTTTCTGCCTGCAGGCATAATGACGACAGGCTTCGAGAGGCTAGTCGATAAGCTTCGCGGCGCTTGCAACCGACGTTTCCGGGCCATGTTTGTCCACTCTGCTCTTTCAAGTGCTATGCGGGCTGCCATCAGCACGGTCAAGCGTGGATCATCGCGGTTCATTACTGTCCGGATTCTCACCCCACAAGCATGCATCAAATCCACGCTTGGACTGCCCTGAAGTTGCTACGGGTCACATACGTGGTAAAGCATGTGACTCGTTAGCATGAACGGACATTGCAGCACAGTCATGGCGGTCGACCTTCTCTCGCTTCTCCTTCTCGAGCAGTGATTCTGTCTTCTCGAAGCCCGAGAAGAGATCAGTTGCTAGCCTTCGGTTTGCACAGTAGTATCGCTGATGACATGAACTGAGACATCGACGCTTGCAAAGCCAAACAGAAGTCGCAGCCTGCTGTCTCTTTCCTCCTCGAGCTTCCGAAGTCGCTCTCGCTCGGCTTTTGGATCCTTCCTGGCACAAGCCAACACGACTGACTTTTCTTTTCTAGATTCCACTCGAGACCTGCTGAAAGGCGACAAAGTGCCATGAGAAATCGCCAGCACCACAAGGGCACTTGAGCAGGATCAATTTCGGGCTTCTTCTCTGCTTCCTGAAACATGCAAAAGTTGCGCATGCGGGCTGCTACCCTTTCTTCATGAACCGATGCCAGCCAGGGATGCTGATGCGGGCATCATGCACAACACACGCAGACACACAGACATGCACAAAAGAACAACAAACTCGCCCACTCTGGCCCTGCGAGTTTCGTTGAGCAGCAATGCTCCTAGTAATCAGTTTCCTCTTGTGTACAACCCATCACAAACCCAAAAGGATCAAGGGATAAGCCACAAGGGAGAGAGATGCGCAACACTTGCAGCACGCGCTAAACAATCAAGCAAAAAGAGGAGAGGATCCTGATCACAGAGGCCGATGGATCCAAACAAGACCTACCAGTGCCTGTAAGAGGAGTCGCGGTATTGAGGCCAGATACTGCTAGAGCATCGAGTAAAGGACAGTCTGCGCCGCTTTGCATGCTCGCGCCTTAGCCTGAGTTGGGCCTTTCTCTTTCTTCTTTGGAGCAGCCTCCCGAGCCGTTGCAGGATCTTCAGGCCCAGAAGATGCGATGAACGGTCGGCTCTCAGCACCAGTTCCCGAATGGCTCTCCTTTGCTTTGGGTTCCTCCTTCTTCGCTTCCTCCTCACTTTCGCTGTCTAGGCCTCGGGCAGCAGGTGCCCGTAAGCGATGTCGTTGTCGGAGCAAGTTGCACCACGCCTTCGTCACGACGACGCTGTCGTTCCTTCTCCTTCCTTTGCGCCTGTCAAGTCACTGCAACATGTCGGTTGCCGGAGCCGGTCCAAAAATTCTCATTATGTCTCCGGATGACTGTTGCAGGTGAAGCGGGCTCAATCTTCCTCCAACTTTGCTTCGATTGCGTCTTCATCAGCATCCCACCTTCAAAGCTTTTAGCATGCGCTGTTGCACTCCAAATATGCGACCAGGGATCAGGCAGAGCCGAAGTGTAAGTGTGCATGGACGGACAGACTGAGATCCCTGCTCGTCATCATCGTCCCAGGAACCGCCAGCCTGTTGGAACCAGGACACCCACTAAGGCCACTAAGGCTCTACGGATTTCGCAAGAGTCGAAGGGCCTCTCCGTCTTTTTCGTCTTCCTCTTCAGACTCCCGTCCTAAGCGTCCAGAGACAGCTGGAGCACCGAGCAGAGCAGGGAGGAACAGCAGGGAGAAGGGAGGAACGGAGGAACGAACAGAAGACCAAACAAACCAGAACAAACTTCACAAGGGCACACGCCTTCGGCGCGTCTCTGAGCCTTTTCCTTCTCCTTTTTGTGCTCCTGCTTACGGTCAACTCACATCAACTCCGCCTCGTCTTTTCGCGAGCCGGCCAGGTCCTCTGCCTTTTTGTCGAGGTCGTCGTCCCACCTTCCGAAGGCCGCAGGATGGCAATGGATGGCATGACATGCTCTCCTCTTGGATGCGGCTCCTGAAAGAGCCTAGAAAGGCTTCCCCAAGAAAAACATTACATCATCTTTGGGCGCCCAGCTCGTCGTCGGAATCGTCCCAACCCATGGCCTTAGTGTGCGATTAGCGCGGTCTTTGCCGTAATTCCCAAGTGGGCTCTCTTTGTATTTGCGTCTTGGCGGCGACTAAGGCAGCGAGCAGAAGACTCCAACCGGAACACCTGCAGCTTGCTGGGAAGGGCGTTCAGCCCAGCGGGACTACACCTGGCCTCGAGCAAGAAGTGTCGAAAGCGGGCCAAGGCTATGCAGGACCCAGGCGGAAAAGAAATGGAGCCGAGATCAAACTAACTGCGGGAAACAACCTGGCCTGCAACCTGCAATGTCTTAAGTCCTTGACCGGCCCGGGGCTTAAATGTCATGGTCGAGTTTGGTCTTAGGATCTTAGGAAACAATGTGCCAGGTCGTGCAGATCAAATGCTGTTGATGCGCCGTGATCTGGCAACAATCGATATTTCTGCAACTGCAGTGAAACACTTCTCTGTTGACGAAGTTGGCGAATTACTGGAGGTGCAGCATATCCCCCCAAGGCTGTGGCTGCAGGATTGTCGTGGTCTTTTTCAATCAGCTGGTTCAACAGAAGGCAAGGGAATCCTGCAGAACAACCAACCTGCCCGGCCTGCTGTACAATCAGTCGGCGGGGCACGGATGTGGGGATGAGATCAGCTGTAGCATGTGGACCTGCTACTTGCCCTCTTCTTGGAATCTGGTTGCCAGTAGCCACAGGTGATCTAATGATGTCACAGGTGGTCGTGAAAGGTCTTCAGCCTACACAGGTATCCCGTGAGATCGAGCTCCTCTCAAGGATGCTTGCAGAGCTCAGAATTTCTGGTCCTTGCATGAGGTTCGTGTCAGTAGAGTGAAGAGCCGGGCTGTTGCACAGAAATCATGAGCTGCCAAGGCTCAAGCTGCTGCCATTCACTCGAAGCCTCGGGCCTCAAAGACAAACGCATATCAGTTCGGGGCACCGTGCTGTGTCTGACCGAATCTCACATGAGTTGAAATTGCGTCTCGGTCAGGGGCCCCGAGTTGGGCGACATCCGTCAGAAACGTCATGGAATTGTGGATTGTGGTCCCGCCGAGGACGATGCTGAGACAGTACTTGGAACACAGGCGTAAAACCCAAGCTACCGTCACCGGCATGTGCAGCTTCTGACTTGAACCCCCACCCCTGATTCGCGAAAATGCCGAAGCTTGCGGTGCGTCGGTCTGCGGTGAGACTTTGTTGGTTCATGTCTCTTTGACATGGCCCAGAACGCAGCAACGATCTACGTATCCGTCCTACGTGCGAACTACAAGATTTTCATTTGACTGTCTGATACTATCTGACTATCTTTGCTCTGACCGATTTCCCTCACAAAGAACGTCAATCTCCACAGTGGCCTGTGCACAGAATGGGCACAGAGCTCCCAGGATCTCTGGGGACAATTCTACTGCTCAGCACGAGGCAGCGCTTCACACACCCAGCTACTTTCTGATCAGTGTCTGCACTTGGGCCCAGGCTTCATCTGGCGGAGAGCGGCTGCTGCGCCCCCTTGCGAAACCAAATTCAGCACGTGGAACCGTGGAAAATAAAAAAGCTGTCAGACAAGCATCATGGTCCTTCTTTTCTGTTGACTGTTGCCTATGACGGCAGGAACTGGCTACAGCTCACCGGCCTCCGCAGTGCCACTTGCGGCACGGCCCGGGGAGCAAAAACCAACAGCACGGGTAGTGACGACGGCAACACAAACAGCACACCACCTCCGAATCCACTGGAACCCTGACTGCCACCACCACACACTCTGTACCAAACCATCAAGGCCCGCAGGCACTAAGACCCCGCAAGGGCCGTTTGATCCCCAAGAGCTCCCACCTCCGGTCCTGCGATATCTTCTGATTCTAAACCCTAAACTCTGGACGCGATCTTTCCAGAACTAAACTAACTAAACTTCCTGCAATACTACTATTATTGTTTCTCAGTCATATTCAATGCTGGTCTCCGACGTCGAGGCTGCAGTCGAGACAGATCGCATGACGTCTTAGGAGTCTGGCTGATCCCGTCATGTCCGAGGGAGCCCAGGAAACCTGCACGAATGTCGCACTGGGTCAACCTACAGCAAGCGAAAATGCTACGTCTAGCTTCAGCACAGCAGCCCAACCAGGTCTACGTCAAGGAATCTGAGAAGACTTGACCATTTGACCACATGTGCACCTGGCGCATAGAATTCCAGCCACGACCGCGATCTGAATCCTGCATCAGGCCGCTCTACATGGCCCCGTAAGCATACAGCATACATGATCTGAGAAATGTACCGGAATATCCATGTCTGAGTCCGGCTTCCATGATACCTGGACTCCAATCAAGCATCCGTAACTATTCTGAGGACGATGGACAAGCCGTTGATTTGGCGAGCAAGTTGTGAGGGCTTTATGGCGCAGTGGGCTCCTGCCTGCCGCATTTGATTCCATGAAGTGCCACCCTGACCCAGCGCCACAGTGGACAACACTCGCATCCGCTCACTGGTCAAACCAAGTGTGTAGCGCATGCATGCGCGGCAGTCTACCCGGAATCTCAAACAGAGGCTTTGGGCAGTTGCTACCAGTCTTCCAACATCTTCAGCCTGCGCCTGATACTCCAATCAGGATGGTGCAGCGTCTGTCTTGCCCAGCTCCCCTGGCCTCCTGCCCCCTCAACGATCCACGTTCGGTCAGCGCACCCTGCCGACTTTGTGGAGTAGGGCATCTTGAGATTTTTCTCCAGCCCACCTGCGGATCGAATGAGATCTGCCGAGGGATCTTCCGCGTGGCGTCCTGTCGGCAACCCGGATTGCCCCTCGAGCTTGTTTCGTAGAGGGCAGCTGCCGCGTTTGATTTGGGCCATGACCTGCCATGCTCGAGTCTGGCTCTGCCTTAAGGGTGCAATTGGCTTCAGCGCAGCATGGCTAAACTTGTCCGACATGATTCCATGTTGGACTGTGCTCAGCAATTGTTTTGGCTGCTCCACTGAATTGGAGGCAAGCAACCTTCCCCTCAAAGAGTTGAGATGCTGGGAATGGTCCCACTCTGAGCCTGAGCTATTCCACCGCTTCACCGAGACATGCCTACAACTTGCCGCTTGCTTTCAGCAGCTAAGGCTTCTGCGCTTTTCGTGTAGCTCAACAGGCCTGTGAATGAAGTGTGGGAGTAGTCGGTGCCAGGCATCGGACTTTTGCTACATCTGCCATTACTGTACGGTAGGAAGGCAATTGAGGCTGCCGAGCCTTCGAACGGCATTCATGAAGTCCGACAGGGACTCGCAAGTGCCCTTGTCCTGCAGCTCTGGCAGCCCGTGGAACTCAGGAACCTTCAGAGGGAAATTGCTCTGTCCTCGCGATATTCTTCGTCCTGCTGGTAGGAGATGGGGGGGTTCGCGACCTGCAATCCGCACGAACAGAACCATGCCGAGTCAGGAGAATCACTGCCACATCGCCTCCAGGCGCTCTGTCAACTTCTCATTGTGACCGAACTTCCTTCGAATGGCCCGTGGAGGGCGGCGCCTTGGCAACAGCGACCCTAGCGACAACGTAAGCTGAATGCGTGAATTAATCAGGGCCAGAACTCTGCAAACCGCAAGCCTAGCTTTTCCGGCTCTCCATCTCGGATGCTCCTGGTGTTGAAGTGATCACATGGGCAGAAGCATACATTCGCACGATGGCCCGCGCCAGCAACGAAGATCCCCTAACAGCTCGTTCAATTCCGGGATTCCCATGCATGAGCTCCAATGCCTGTGGTGCTTGTCAACCGCACTTTCCAGGCCCATCACATTGCGGGCCTGCACAGCCATGGCAAGCGGTCTCCATACATTTATGGACATTGACAGAAGCGGATCTCGCGGATGCATGCCTTGTACTTCATGGGCGGCGGGCTGACCTGCTGACTCCGAGTGGCGCCGTGAGCATTCATGACAAGGCTCATAATGGCATTGTGTACAGTTCCAATTACAGTACACAGAAGTTCCGGAGCAACTCCATGCTCCAGATTGCAACGAAACAAGGACTGACGTGCCGCTTCAAGCATGTGTCGGTAAAGGTAATTTGCTGAGAACAGCAGCGCTGTCATGTTGAGCTGTACACCCCTGATGCTCGAAAGCTGTCGTCCCTCCAGGTCAGCACAAGCTCTATGCCGTCCGGGCAATACCCGACCCGAAACAAATCCACCTGTGCCGACGGAAGCAGGAAAAAGCAGTAAACGGTGTTTTGCGATTTTGTCCGGTGCATGCATATATTCAAGGGTAGACATGGGTAGACCATGACACCTTCTTTCGGGTATCCATCCAGCACCTGCCGCTTTCAGCTTCTGTCCAAGCACTCTGATCGGCAAAGAGCTATGCAATCGCCGGAACGTGCTGCCTTCCATTCTGGCGTTGGCTTCTCTGCGATGGTTTGGATGCTTGTTTGTAATTCCTCAGGGCCTGCGATTGATCTTTGGTAATTCTCTGCAGGTCAATAAGATCCAGGCATACAACAGGCCCTACACCCAGGCAGCTGCATGAGCGCTAAGGCGACAAGCCCTGGCCTGCTTTTCAGCTGGTGTGGTAGCCTCGAATAGACAAGGGCGTCGGAGATCAAGAACATGGGCTCCGCCTGCCGGTGTGCAGCGTTGCGGTCTCGCTTCTGACTTTCCCCTTGCTCGCTTCTGCGTCGATCACGGTTGTCGTGGCAATGGTAATTTTGAGTACTTGACTAACTCGTTAAGGTGGACAGCTTCAGAAACGAACCTCTTGACGTGCTTCCCAGGGTCTTGTGCTTGCTGTTATACAGAGGGTCTCACTACGTGACTTGCTACCAATTCATGATTGTCAAGGAGGTCAACACATGCGGGGTGAGCAGCACGGTGGCCAAAACATGACACCCTACCTTGCTTGCACAGACACCGGGAAATGCCAGGCCACTTCGCAGACTAAGTCTGTGCGAGGCAGACGCAACTTCTCCAGAGGCTTTTCGAAAATTTCGAGATGCACGAACTCCTTCATTCCGCAAGAGCCACAGACTGAAGATCCGGATCAACGGCACGAACGTCGCCGGAAGACAGGGGCTTGTCAATCTCAGAATCTCAGGAAAGCCTACGCCCAGAGATTGTGCATCAAAGGCCCCACGAACGATCTCCTGCCAAATGCGACTTCTGAGAATGGAAGATTGGCAGATCTCGGTGGCCGCTGCAGGTCGGCTCCTTGTTGGCCATCTCCGGGTGGTATTGGTTCTCGATCCATTTGGCCTTCAAGTCTTCCTGGCATGTCAGAGTGGGCATTGCGCTGCAATTTTTGCTGCGACCTCCCACCTTCCTGGCATCTGACACCTGGTTTGGCATTCGTCGGTAGTCTGCGACCTCAGCGATTAGGCATCGACAGCTTTCGCAGCTGCTTTGATCCGGCCTTGCCTCGCGAGGGCTTGGATACTTGAAGGGCTTACGGTCATCCTCCTGTAGAGAAACATGTCAAGGTGGTGCCAAGCACACGCTGCTGCCGTTAGATGCTGGAAATCCTGCGGGATCTCTTCCCGCAACATCCTCCGTGCGAGATCGCGTGTGCTAGGATATGTGACTGCAAAGAGCAGGAGCCCAGCAGCCCAGCCTGTCTAACTGCACCTCCTTCTCCAAGAGCGGAAAGCAGCCAGAGTTTCGCTCTGCTGAATAGGTCCAAAGATTGTCGCCTTCCTTCAGATCGTGGGAGTGAGACAACTTCGCACGCATGAATCTGCGACGGCTCCCTCTCGGTCACTAGCTGACTTTGAGTTCGGGAGGAGATGACAACTGATTGTCGGGGAGAGCTGCCATAGCGGTCATAAGATGCACAACACCCTCACCACGCTTCCAATGTCACCGTCGACTTGACTGCGATACGTGCAAGGGCCTCACCTTGCCCACCATCTTGGCTCGGATAGCCTTCTTTTGCTTTTCCGCTGTGTTCTTGGCCTCAGATAGTCTCTCCACAGCCAAGAGTCCCAGATTTGCTCGAGTCGCAAGCAAAGGGTTATCTTGAGGCACCGAGCTTGGCCCGAGTAGATGTAAACGACCTCTGAAGGCCTCGGCTTTGTGCTCTTCGGCGATAGCAGAGGCCGAGACTTAGCCGCTAGGACAGCTAGGACAGGAGCTCCAGGAAGGATTTGTCTACCTCCTTCCGCGGACCAACCTTCCGCTCGCCGCTCACCGCCTAAAGCAACATGGCGCATTGTATTATGGCACATTGCGGAGCTAACTCCACACATCGTTGCACAAGCCGGGGCCCGCCTTGACGTGCCGGCTCATCTCTTGGACAACCTTCTTGTTGGTGCCTCGAGAGGACTGCCCACGAGACAAAGGAGACGAATTGAGACCTTCCCTGGATGGGTCTCAGGATTCTGTGAAGGATTCCGCTGATCACGCTTTGGCTCAGACTGATCATGTCGGTCGGCGGCTCTTCAGCGCGAGTCTGGAGAATCCTAGCAAGGCACGCAGAAAAAGGCGAAGCACGTTGGAACGCAGTGTAAGTCGGCATGGACTTCTATCAGTGTCCTTTGGTAAGTTTGGTTTGTCGTGGTGAGCTTGTGCTTCAGAACGATCTTGGCATTCCGTACATGCACCTGGCAGAACGCATTTCCCTGAATTCAACCAATAATGACTGAGTCTGTGCATCAGACAGGCACGGGAACGGAGCTAGGACAAAACACTCCAACTACAAGTAGCGAAACTGGGAAGGTGTCTCAACTTGATTGCCGAACATCGCCTCCTCGATCATCGAGCCCTGCCCGTCATGCTCGCTCTCCCTGTCCATGTCCACCTCTTCCTGCAGACTTCATGGCATGGCAGCGCGGCCCGGGATCCTTTGATTCCGATGCCGAGAGTCTGGCCGCTGTGCCCCCGCCAGAGTGCTTGCCACCCGAGTGGTTGCTGGAACGGCCCCTGACAGGTCGCTCTGCTCTCGGCGCGCTCCTAGGCGCTCCGCTCTCCGAGCTTCGGGCGTGCGCCCGGTCATCTTCGAGTGGGCGGACCTCTTCTTTTGTCGCTCGGCTCCGCTTCCCTGGTCCCTTGAGGCCCTTGCCTGGTTTCTTCAACGCAGCCGCCATGGAGTTCCTTTTCGTGGACGAAGTCGCCGTACCTTTCTGAGGACTGGGCGAGAGAGACTATCTGACTATCTCGCACCCCCACAAGGCTCACTGTGTCTCGATGTCTTCGATGATCTTCAGTGTGGGGAAGGATCCCATCAGCTTCAAGACGTGGATGCGATCCTCGTTTACATCGTAAATGCCCTTCGGAATGAAATCTGATGCTGGGATAGCTACTTCCCTCGCAACTCATGGAGATCTACTCACATTACTCACACTTAAAGGAGCGGACTGCTCTCTTGATCTCCATGAGCTGATTCAACCCGCGGCTGACTGCAGCATCACCTGGAACGAGCACCCACGCCATTTACAAAGTGTCAAAGCTTCTTGGACGTCGAGGTCTAAAACATTTCTGCTGCAGCAGCAAGAAAACAAGAGAATCCGTCTGGGGCCCTAGCTGCGTCCAGCAAGGCAAAGCGCTGGTCGCATTGTGAGGCCTTCGATCGTCGGCTGACGCAGCTTCACCTTCAAGCGGCCTTTGCCGGTTATGTCGTCAAACTGAACTTGGCAGCACTCTTCCGGGGACCTGCTTGAGGACGAGATTGAAGTCGGTATAAAGCCGTTGGCTAAACCCGAGATCTGGGTTGAACAGGACCTGCTGGCGGGGAGACTGCCGCCGACTCTCACTCCTGGATCCAAGATGGGCTCAGGTTCACACCATCAACTTGGGAGTGCTTTCTTCAGGCAACACCTGCAGCTGGGCAGCTGGGCAGCTGGTGCTGGCTTGCCGACATCAGGGGCATGACTCGACAGCTCGGCAGCCTCCAGTAGCTTGCCCAAGGCGTTGCCCTCACGAAGACATTCTGCCTGCACAGCAGATTAGCACTGGGATGCACTGGGCCGGCCGACATGCGGATGTAACACACGGCAAAAGGTTCAGGCCAAGAGAGGAAGAGCGAGGAAGCAGATCATAAGGTCCAGTGGACGAATGATCCAGAAAACTCTGCTGGTGAGCCAGCTCTCAAGACGCACAACGGCACTCAGGCAGTCGCCACGATGATCCGGCAGCGCCTGTCCATGACAATGAAGCCTCGCAGATAAGCAGCGTCGCATTTAACCGCACGGTCCTTCGCTTGCCCTGAGTGTGCATGTTTATCATGGGTTTGACCTCCCTGTCTGAGCCCCCCCTTTGGCCCCGTGTACTTTCTTACACCCATTCATGCCCACTTTGTCTAGAACGCATGCATGTGCTCGCTGCGCTTGATACAACGGGCACTGGCAGGGTCTACAGTCCAGCAGAGTGGCAAAGTGAGGAGTGGAAAGTGCTAGGAGTCCTAGCAACATGCTGCCTTTGTGTAGGGAAATCGCACCCAGCAGCGGGATGTTGACAAAAATATGAAAGAAGGCGACGGTGTCAAATCAAGGCCGTCACCCTTCAAGACTCGTACGGAGCTTCACACGGCAAAGCCCTTATCCGAAGCTCTCTTTAATTCCCTGCCGTGGCCGTAGATAAGTTTGCTGTGGCTCGGAGCTTCGCCATGCTTGACTTGAAGCTTTCTGCTTCCGATCTGAAAGATGCACTGCACTGCTGCTTGCAGGCCTGTGATGATGTCCAAGTCCTGGCTCTTCCTGGCATCTGGCAGACTGCAGGGATCCAGGGCCAACAAAACCGAGCCAGCTCCACTGCTCTTCTGTCAGTTTCACGCTCGCAAGAGTGCGTGCCTGCCTTGACAAACACGCTTAAAGCCTACCGCACTGGACCTTCAAATCTGCTCTGTGCTGAGTGCTGCTCCCAGCATCTAGATCCAGAGCTCGAACATTATTGTCGGACACCTCAAAGTAAAGCCACCACGCCAGCAGCAACATCCTGACTGAATTCTGCTTGAGATTAGACGAGCTGGGAACTGCTTGAAGGATCAACTTCAGGACGGTCGTCCTGGGCACAGCTGGCATCTGGGGGAAGGTCAGCCGAATGCAGGAAAGTGCTGCATCCTAGCCGATGCACGATACACAAGCATAGACCGCACAGACCACATCAATAGTTACATGCTTGTCAATACAAGGTTGAAGCACAAAGCCAGCAAATGCCGGGTCTTTTGATAGTCCATCTTGATGACAACCCGTGTATACCTGACAGTAGACGCAGAACTGCAAGGCCATCGCAAATACGGTGCTGCTGACCGAAGCCATGCAAAGCTGCCCTTTGTGAGTGTGAGTCTGGCCTTTCATACCGCGGCGGAGTTGGCTGGGACTCCTTCAAACCGTGCCCTGAAGACTCGGCCACCGTACACGCAAGCTGACAGCTCAGGAGGGCCACGGTCCTCTTCACCGATCCCATCGGGCTGTTGGTCGGCATCCACGGCCGCTCCCTCCGCATCCTGCACGTTTCTCGACAGCCACTTACCCAGATCATACCGGCAGCTGCGAACCTGAGTGACAGCATCAACCTGGTCCACAGGCTTCGTCGGAGCTACCAGAGGAGCCAATGGCTCTGCCAGGGTTGCCTTGGTTCGTCAAAACAGCAAGGGAAGGTGGGCATCCCTGGTCACTTGGCCAAAATATCAAAATTCAAACTCCAAGGCAGATTCAGATTCGACTGCTACAGTAACCCCTCTGCCATGCACCCTAAATCGCAGCGGCAGCATCACAGAAGAGCAACTCCGGGTCTCGAACGGTTACCCGAACCCAGGTGCTCTTCCTGTGGTAGTCCGGCCTCAGCCAAAAAGGCCAATGATGAAGCCACTTAGTGAAATGGGAATCACTGATCTTGAGTTGCTGGCATTGGCTCGCACACTGGCTTTTCGGTCGACACAATCAGCCTTACTCAGAGACAGATGCAATGACACTCCCCCAACGAACGGCGTAGGAATGCCATGACGCAGCCGTTTCCGAAAATCCCGCACTCTAACCCTGACAACTGTCTTGCGGCATCAAAGCTGTAAGTTGGGAGCAAAGTCAGAAGAAACTTGGTACTTGGCTCACGTGCTTTTGCGTCACCTTTCATGACATTGGACACCTGAGGTCACGCAGGCGTAAAGGTATATGCGACCATCTCCCTGCCGTCATCGATGTGCCCGATGAATCCGCAGCAGGCGCTACATTGGACATGGCAGCAAAGGTATGCCTGAAGTCCACGCCCACCGCTCAAAGCTCGCTGCTTTCGACCTGCTGAATATTACGATCTGCCCAATTGACAAGAACGGTCTCCGCAACTTGAAGCAGCTCTCTGCGAGGGAGGCACGCTGCGGCTCGACGTCAGCACGAAGCGGCAGAGGATGTACTAGCCTTTGCAATGCGCTCTCGGGTGCAGGCGGCAGTCCTTGCAGCACTGCTGCTTCCACGAGCCTTGGGTTCAAGAGTTCGGAGAGATTGAAGCAGGCTACGCCACACCACGTCCTTGGACGGGCAATGCAGAGCAACACGAATTGAACACGGCTGATCACAGCACGGCGCATGGACTGAATGTGCTTTTGAACAAAACCCATATGCAAAGAGCGCTTGTGTGCGTCGAGAGCACTCTGACACCTCTCGAACCTCCACCGAGGGCTCCCAGCCTGACCAAGCAGACAAAAGAGAATCTTAAGAAGCCTGAAACACGATTCATTAGAAGCCGCGCCAAACACTGGGAGCAGTTGAAGTTGCCAGCGTGACGAGATCATCATGCTTCTGTGCTGCAGGCATTGTGATTCGGACATGTCAGGAGCATCGAGAACATGTTCACAAGTACTCGTAAGTCCACGCGCGTACAGTGCTTACCGAAGACTTCCCGCCTGGAGGAACGGCTTCAGGCGGAGGTTTCTCAGGTTGCGGAGGAGCCTCGCAGGGAACGCAGCAGCAAAAGTGCGCTCGAAGCTCCGGAATGCCCGACAGGAGGATGTTCGTTGACTTGACACGGCTCTCGAACTGGTGACACGTGCAGGAATCCAGGAATCCCTTCGTCCGTGCCTTGCCACCTTTCTTTGGCGGTGGTTCCTCTGCCGGTGGCTCCTGGCAACTCCGCGTCGACAAGAGGGGCTTTGCCCACACTCAGACCCGCTTGTGCCTCCACAATGGGCTGGCTGTTGACGCCCTGGCCACAGAACACCAAAGACACGCGAAGGAGTTCGAGAGTCTCCAGCTTGCACCGTGAAGTCTGAGATGGTCGAGGTGCGCCTTGTCTCGATCATGCACCTGCCAGAAAAACGATCAAGCCGAGTCTGACAAGGCGCAACGAAGCCGGCATCTTGGCGCTCAGGCCCACAGCTTATGCAAGGCTAGTCTGTGCAAGAGCCTTCCTGCTCCAGCAACGTGCATGATCGTAAATGCGCGCTGCATCGTTGGGTCACCGTCTGTTGTTGTTGAGCTCTGCAGCCAGTGAATTGCTTCCCCAGTCTGTCGAACTCACATGGACGGAATTCACCAAGATTTTCACAGACCTTCCCAAATTCTCAGTTTCCTCGAAACTTTGACGTAGGATCCGCCGAGGCAGCTGTGCAACTGTACCAATAACTCGTAGCAAGAAGTAAGAAGTAAATGAAACGAAGTAATCTCGATGCTACGACGGCCTTTCCGCATCCGTCCGTGCGCGGGTTGCTACAACATTTGTGTCAGCAGGTCATAGCGTCCGTCGTCCAACTGCTCCAGCTGCGGCTCGTGGGCTGTGCATCACTACAAAAACACCCAACCTTGCCTCAACACACACCTTGGCCAGCTGCAGGTGCTCACGCGTCTCGTGCTGAGGCCAGGTGCCGAGGAAGTAAACCAAATGGGCCTGGCAGCAAGCGATGCCCGACAGCCCAGATCACGCGGCAGCTCGCCTTGAATGGCACATTGCGGCGCTTGTCTATCTTCTTTGCCAGCGTCCTGCGACCTCGGCCAGCAGACACTGAACAAGAGAGCTGAAGCATTGAGATTGAAGCCAATCGAATGCTTCTGCAAGCTTCAGGTCTAAGTTCAACCAGTCCAAGGCAAGTCTTGTGTCGATATCTGCTCTCGACTCCTCGATACGTCTCGGCTCCCAGCGCTCACCGAAGGCCTCTACGACCTTCTCAAGCAGCAAGGTGTAATGATTAAGAGAACAGCGAGCTGCCAGTCAGATGACTGACACCCAGGCATTCGATAAAGGGCCCTGACAGCATAGACGAGCTCCTGCTGCCCGCGATGCAGCTCCTGGGCAGGGCTGATTGGCAGTTTGCCTCGTTGGTTGGTCGTCTAGCTTAACGTCACAATCGTGTTTCGAACGGCTTCGCAAAGAAACCACATCTAGGGAGCCTAGCTGTGCCAATCCAAAACACTCCAAAACTCCTCCTGAACGTGAACCACTGCTGACCAACCACACGTTCCGACAATGGCGGCTGGCGACCTGTGGAAGGGCGTGAGCGCCGCCCAAAGTCAACAAGAGCGGATTGAGGTGCCTCAGCCACATGCTATCAAATCTGCAACGTATATCATGCTATCATTTAGATGCCACAGCACACGCTAGGGAACACCCGGAACGCTCACGCCCGAGCTCGCGTTCACCTCTGAGCTGTCGGCTGCCTGATCTCCGCAGTCATAAGCGGCCCTTGGAGAACGCTCTGCATCCGACGAATCAAAACATCCTACTTCCTGCTATGCCTGCCATGCGTGGAGAGAACTTTACAGCTGAGATGTGGCACCACTGCATCGCACACTCACCTGCACATTTAATTTGCACCAGCAATCACTCTTTATCACTTTGAGAGCTTGTTGCTTGCTTCACCGAGGCAGCTGTAATGACACGATGCGCAAAGATGGTTTCAATATCAGCTGTGCAAGGGGTCATGCAGGCTGCAGCGCCTGCAAGGCCTTGATCTGCGGACATTGTACTTGCACCTCGGTCTCGTGGCAACACTGTGGCAACGTCTGCAGTAGGGCTTCAATGAGACGCGGGTCACGTTACAGTGGGGCAGGATGCAACGACTGGGTCAGTATAACATCGCAAGGCAGTGCCAATGATGAATCTCACATGAGGCCCAATAAAATGGAGTCTCACCATCAATTTCGGCAGGCGGCGAGCAGATCCTCGGAGATTGCCGGACCTTCGGGCCAGAGAAACCAAGCATGACCAGTCCGCCAAAGGCTTCGTGCACTTCAAGCGTTACCAACCCTGCGCTCAGAGTGTCGAGACTGATTCACAGCAGAGAACCTCTAAAACTCTTACGTTCCGACGTGCTGCCAAGTCTGCCTGCTTGCTGTAGGCACTTCTGCACGATCAGCGGAGCTAGCGGTATGACCACCTCCAGCTTGACCTCGCGATGCCACCGCCGACGCCCGACCGTGGGACGGTGCAAAGCCTGAGGCGACTGCATACCCTGCTGGGGTGCCATCCGTAGATTCGGCGGGCTCCTCCAAGTCAGGAAGTGCAGCTGGCAGATTCTCTTACGGGCAACCGAACCAGCATGTCCTTCGATGCGACCTGGTGGATGTACAGTGACACTCAGGTTGGGAGTTGGGGGAAGCATGGAGTCTGTGCTCAAGCCTCCTTTGGATCCTTCTTTTTCTTTGCATCCTGCAGGCACGGTCAAAGACATGCTTGCTTTTTCGCTCCACACAGAGAAATCTGACAGGTCCCCAACACGTGTAGCAGTTCTCAGCCCAACAACTCAGTGGATATTTTTACTCTGATTTACTCACTTTAGGCACCGGCATGCAACTAAGCTCGAAACAAGGACCTCCACACTGCTGCGAGCAATCCCACGTCCTTCTTGGGATCTGGCTTCTTCTTTCCCGATGCAGACGCAGGCGGGGAGCCAATGTCTGCCAAAGAGCCTCAACAAGATAACGGCGCAAGCTTTGAGAGACTGTGCCGAGGTGGTCTGCCTGGCTCTGGCAAGGGCGCTTCAGGATCTGGCATAAAGGCCTGACACGAGCTGCAAGCAAGCCGGCAGCGTTTTGAACTCTTGGCACAATCTGCGATGCAGGGCAGCGGGGCCTGAATACAAAGAGCCTGGACCTGAGATCAGACGAACCCCTGCCGTTGCTCACTGCGTTCTGAGATGTTCTGAGTTCTCCAGCCGCAAGAGCCCGAACGAAGGCGCATGTGCAACTGCCAGAGGGTCAAGGGCAGGCGCCCCAAACAAACAAGGCATCTCAATGTGTTCTGAGCGTTGCTGGGATCTGCAGGAGTCTTCGAAATCGCCATGAGATGTCATGGGTGGCTGAGCCCATCCTCATCGTCGGCGAAGCGCTCTCGAACCGACGTGACTCGATGAAAGCTCGTGGCTTCTCCTCCAGGCTCAAAACAAACACGCTCCGCTCGTCTGAATGAGTCTCCGTCTCCTCAGCTTCCTGTGTCTCTTCGGTTGCCGGCACCGGATCTGCTGCAGGAGGTGGAGGTTCCTTCCACACAATCTCGGGGATCTTCTGATCATTGTGGAAGACAGAGGCCGCGGTGCCTCCTCCGGCAGCTCCACTGGCTCTGGCTCAGCAGCCTGCCGTTCAAAAAGCTGCAAGCGATGTATGTGCGCAGAAGTATGCTTGCACGGCCTTCTGCCATGTCTCGCTGGATACCGTCCCCGTGTTGATGCTCTGGGCCAGATCGCCTTAGCGTATGGAATCGGGACATGTCAATGACTTGCTACGGTATGTGTTGGACTTGGTATCACTTGGTGCAGCCAGCTTTGCAGATGCTTTTGATACCCTCCAATATGTCATCCTGTTTCAGACCGGCTCAATCCAAACTTTTGTGGTGGGCCTGCCCTCCTCACAGCTGAACTGTGAAGGTTGGGCCTGCAATGTTGGTCAGCTATAATAAAGGTATCGAGCAGGTGTCGAATTACCTCAAATTCTTCACGCGGACCATTTTGTAGTTGCAGTAGTCCCCTGGTGCAAGAACCTTCTTGCCGCGCCACATGCGCTTCTTCAGGATCTTTCGCCCCTTCACGGTAGAGGCACGGGCCAACAATGAGCAGGAGCGGAACTTCTTTCTCAGAGTCCACCCTTCGCTTCGGTCTCGTTTGGTGCGCTTCTTGTTGTACATAGCAACTCTGACATCGCGGTCACTTTGAAGTGAAGGGACCCCCGAACCAGCAAGCAGCGAGCCAGCTGCAAAATCGGTCTCCATTGATGCCAGAGCCAGGTCTGCATGCTCTGCGTCTGCGTGCCGCACATCAGGCAGAGATGCGCTGAGAAAGCACCTATGAGCAAGCATCGTCAGCGCAGTTAGACCCAAGGCCGCCGCTGCGGCGTGGGCAAATAGGCCACGGGGGGCCCTTGCCGTCATCGCGCTGTCGCTTCAGCTGCTCTGCTGCTCAGCTACTTGAAGTGCCCTGAAGAGCCAACGGCCGCCGGTAGGTACCTCTCCCTGTACGATCCTCCATGCTGCCGACATGAGCAACCGGCCCGTGTCTGTAAACCAGGTGAAGAGAAACGCGACCTTCGGGCAGAAGACCAAACATTCGCCCGATAGAAAGCCGCGCTGTGCATCCACAAAATAAGCCGACTGCATGAGGACAGTAGTCGTCCAAACACCGTACGTCGATCGCAGCGGTAAGGCTCACCTAGCCGACTGCAACGACACATGCAGTGGTGTATCGGGCTTTCTTTCAAGAATGAGGACATTATCAGGCCTCGTTCGCAGGCAGATCGGCGGGGTCTGGTCTGGCATCCAGCCAAGGCCTTGGCGAAGACTTTCGCTCACAGCGCCATAAAGAATACATAGACGAGCACGACACATGCATTTGATGCACCAACTTACAGAAGTAACCAGCTCTCACAAAACCTTCAACGTTTTGCAACATCGAAGGCCGTCGCGTCACCATGCTCGAGGCCACCGACTCCTGACAACAGGAACATAAAACTGCGCATGCATGGATTAAAGGAGAAGTACGTGAGATGGGCAACTGTCAGCAACTTAGCTCTCAACACATGACGGATCATTGGAGTGCTGCGGGCCACTTCATTTGTAAACTACCGATCGGCAAGGTGTTGGTGTCTGGTGGTATTGCTTGGTGGATTGGCAGTTGCCTGCATCTAGATGGGTCTAGAATTGTGAAAGAGTTCGTGGACGACTCGAAACTTCAGATGTCCGGGCAAGCCCAGCTAGCCATCCGGTCTTCGGACGGCCTGAGCCTTAACACGGACGACATGCTCACATGCAGGAAACCCGGAAGACAACTCCGACACAGATCTTGATACTTCGTAGCACCTGCAGCCATCCAAGGTCCGGTTCAGCTCGGCGACGTCCCTCGCCTGGCTGCAAAATGGTGCAACGTCGACAGCAAGTAGTTTACGTTCATCGACACCCACGCCTTCTACGTCGCCCGTCAGGCCAAGCAGGCAAGTAGCAAGCCAAAGTCTCCAAGTCTCCCAGCGCCTCCTCGTAGGTACACCCGCCGACGACAAAGACCACGCAGCGCCGTGGCGGCTCCCGCGCTGGAGCCACGCCTTGTGGACATCGGCGCTCTGTGATGTTCGCTAGCGAAGCTCGCCGGTGGGAGAAGAGCTCCCTCCTTCTGTCCCAGATCTGAGAGGCTGACTGCTGCCCTTGCCCTGCATGTAGGGGTAGCTGGTCTGCAGAGGCAGAGCTCATGCAGGCAACATCAGGGAACACTGCTCCGGCAAATGTTGACCAGCTAGAGCAATGACAAGCTCCACTGACCACACACCTTCCCCTGTCATGTTACCGATGTACTTGACAAGTATTACTCAAGACCCAAAACCTTCATCTATGGCGGTGCAGCGCGGATGTAAGTCTGTGGCTGGGTGCAGGTTTGGGCTCGTGTGCTGCTGCCGGTGTGCATGCACGCGGCATGCAACCTAACACGAGATGTGGCCTCCTTCAGCTGGCCCTTCATCAAGGAGCTGACTACACTGGACACATGGCTCTTGTGCTGAGTGTAGACCTCAGCAGAAGTCTGTGCAGACAACAGCCCGGCACCAAGTTTCGCTCCCACAGCTTGCTTTTGCCAATACACAAACAACGCGTCAGCCAGTCAATCGTGTTTGTGGTCAATGAACCGAGAGTACGGCATTCTCCACACCTTTGAAGCTACTGGTGACCACGTTCTTCGCCTGAGCTCAGAACGCAGCTTTATCACTTGCAAGACAATGATTTGGAGCAGCTGGGGGCGCCCATTCTCAGTCCGATCTATGCGATGACAGCCACAGGCTACAGAACACAGAGAGAGAGAGGGGGATAGAAGAAAGAGAAGCGGCAAGGTCCGTCGAGCGCACGGCCTAGAAATCACATTTCAACACGCAAATGGACACAGAGTGAACCTGCAGGCACATGTGCTGCCCGCACATGCAAGATCTACGGACATTCTCGGGCTGCTGATTGCAACGACTGATAATGCGAAGCCTCTCAGTCCAACCTGTGCAATGATAGGTACAGGCTGCAAAGCGTTGCGCATCGGACTAGAGTTGGCCAAGCAAAAACTGGTATGTACTACCTTGATCGTTTCGGGTTGTGTGGCACGAAAAAAGCACGGCTGGCCAACGCAGGGCAAATGGGGGCTGGAACCGACGCTCTCTGACATTTCGCACTTTGCAGTTTCTTAACCGAGGCTTGCAGCCGACAATCCCATGTTGTGGTAATATCTAACAACCGTACAATAAATTGGAGTAGGAGCAAGCTGCTGTTGTTAACGCAACACCTCAAGGCTGGCAGACTTTTGGTTCCGACACCAGAGCATAATCGCAGACATGCTGCTGCAGAAACAGTCAAACGAACCGTGGCATGTTTGAAAGCATGAAACTAAATCGAGTGCATGCGTGGGACGCGTGCCCTTCACCACCCTTGCAGCCTGGTGATCCTCTTGTGTGGCTCTCGTAAGCCCGTTTTGCAAATGCTGCTGGCTCCTGCTGTTATCAAGTATTAGATGTATTAGTAATTACCTCTTTTGTATTCCAACGACAACGCGGGCACGTGCCCAAAATCGGGTCGCAGAGCTTCACCGCCGCATAGGCTCTTGAAGTCCCTGCCGCATGGTAATCATTCCATGCTGCCCTGAGTCTGGGAAACTGCCAGCAGTTCCAGCTGAGAAGATCACAACCGGTAAACAGGGGACAAGACACTCTGCCAGTTCATCTGAAGTCGAAAAACACGGCAGCAAGGGCCCTTCTTTAGGTTCCCATTGGGCACCGCACAAGTTGCAAGAAGCTCTTGTTCTGAAACAAGTCGCTGTTGCGCACTTGCCTGAGCTCGACACATCGGCCCTGAAAGCACCTGGATTCTCGCGCGACTCTCGAGCCGCATCATCTGAGCGGGATGCGAGCCCGCGTAGCGCAAGAGCTGGTCCACCAGGCCTTCGAAACGCCAACACACGCTTTCCTCGCAGCGCCCATCCGCATCTCTCTGCCATGCTGAAAGCATGACTTCGCCTATTTGATCATCTCCGACTCCCTTCTGTCGCAGCTGGTCCTTCAGAGTGATAGGCTCAAGAAGGCAGTGTGCTTAGAAAAACAAAGCGAGAAATCTTTCAGACATTAAAGCCAACCTTCAGCTGTGCGATGGAGTTGTACTCATGCTCGTACCTGCATGGCCACTGCCATACGGTGGCGGCTGCGTGCAGAAGCGAAACCACGCATTCAGCCTCAGCGCGAAGAGCAGCACCAGGCGCAGGCCTTCCTTTGACAGAAGACTCAGAGCACCCGAACTTCGAACCTCCCGTCTTCCGATGCTCTCGATACTCGTGCAATGCGCACCATTGGCGTGATCTTTGCCATCTTCAGCAAGTCCACCAGCGCTTTGTAGTGCTCCTCACGGAACAGGACATGTGTGGGACGGCTTCGCTCCAGTTTCTGACTAGAGTTTTCTAAAGCTTCACCGATGTGATAACTTTAACAGCTCGCCACATGCCCCCAAGCCTTCTGGTTCTCTGAGCAAGCCAGCTCCTGCTCCAGCTGGGATGCCTTGCCAGACTTTTGGAAAAGCATCCGATATCATCGAAACAAGACTTCCGACATCAGGTCTCTTTTTGCACACGATCGCATGCGAGTCCGGGTCGGCAGCCCTGATTGCACGGCATTCTGCGGTCGTCTGGGTTTCCACGGTCGTCCGACTGGAACACAGGTGGTTCTGCGCTACCCATCGCTTCGGGGCCTTGAGAAAACGTGCATAAGGATCGCGAGGCGCTCGCGACCACAACCAGCGGACATCGGATTGTTTCATCGTTGTCGCTGAGGCGAAGTGCTGGACGCTGGACTTCGCGTGGTCGACGTTGGAGAAGCGTTCTGCAAAGATCTCAATCATTGCGGCGTCAAGGCTGTTGCACAGGCTTCCGGATTTCCAGGCATTCCAACGTCACCTCCAAAGTGCTGTTCGCAGGTAGACCTCGGCCGCCAAACGTGCCAGAACCAAACAAACAACAACTGACAAAGAATCCCGACTTCCGGCTTGCAGCCCGGGAACCCCATGCCTCGAAACTCTGGGGCCCGTAGGCATCTCGAGGCGGCACCACCAAGCGGCGATGCTCCCCTACAGGTGCTACCACTGCAGAAATTATGCAGAATGATGCTCTGAGTATGATGGTGACCTGCAGTTGCTTCGACACAGGCGCCTGGCGTCATGCCAATGCTACCCAGGTCCCATCCGCGGAAAACAAGGCCACGACCAACCTGCCCCACACGAAGATGCAGCTTCCAGGCAATGAGTAAAAGCTGCTTGACTGTGTGGGAGCACTGAAGTTGAGGAAAGGCTTTCAGACCCCGTACACTCCAGAGCAGCCCATTCCCGCTGCTTTTACTCATTTGGCCCCTCATGCCAAGAAGCCTCGTAGCTGATGGACCGCTGTGTATCTCGGGAACTCCAAAACTTCTTTCCTGTTGCTGCGACCGCACCTGAGCTGCGACCCAACATTCTCTTTCACAAAACACCTGTCAAAAGCTCAGCCCATGCGCACTTCAAATCTACCCCTGTGCGATAACCCATCTCACGATGTGGTCCTCTAAGCCACACTTCCCCGCTGATTCGAGCAAATCGCTTCCGCATCATTCGTGCCAACAATGTGGAGAAGCAGCTTCCAATCGGCTTGTACGCTAGTCAGCCTTTACCCCTCGAAACCTCGGAACTGGGAATTGTCGCTTTCGTGTTGTGTAATGCCGTTTTCGATTTCAGCAATTTGTCGGTTGGGCATCATCAAACTCTGCCGATCTGCGACGACACGAGGCGCAGCATGTGCCGACGCTCGATTGAGCGGAGATTTGGTGCATTCCTCGGGTTCTGGTGGCAACGCCAATGTACTGAAAGCCGAGCAGGCTAGCAGCTTTGGGCTTCAGAAGGTGTCTCGACGTTTTCGTGTCGCGATACTCGCTGTGCAGGTGTCATGCCGCGCCGACATGTGCCGAGAAGCTGGTCGCATGAACACAGATCGTGTCACCCACGGCTGCGACAGGTTCCGGCAATCCAACCTAAGTCAAGAGGCGTCATCCCAAGTACAAAGTCGGAAGAAGCAGGCCAGCCTTCAAGATCTGCTTCGTCGTCTGGCATCCCTTCACGCCTTCCTCGCATCACAACACAAGCCTGCAGACATGGCACTAGTCTGCTGTCTGCATCAGAGCGACCATGGTCTCTGCGCAGAAGCGGCTGCGAGCCAACAAAAGCTCCGCGGTGCCCCGCATGAAACGGACTTACGTTCCAAGCAGATGCAGGCAGGCAGGCTCCCAAGCAATTGCCACAAAGCAGCGCGCCTCAAGGAGCCCGTACGCATCGATAATGCGGGACCTGGCAAGAGTCCCCAACATTGTGTAACACAATTTTAGCACGATCATGACGCATGGAGGTTTCAACTGAGGGTGCCGCAGTTCGCTGACAACATTA